TCCCTTCCACACAGTCATGTCTGAATATGATGCCTGGAACTCTTGCAGCCATTTTAGCAGCTTGAGGCCGATGCACACACGTAAAATAAGGCAGAAGCAAGAGATCTACAGAGGAGTGGGACTGAGGAAATGTGATGTGGGGAGCCTGCCTCATTCTGGGACTTCAAGTTTTGTGAGATAAAAAATGTCTTTATTGTTAGATTAGGAGTTTCTGTTGATTGAAGTCAAAACTATTATTATTGTATATCATTCTTCATCAAACCACTCAAAAGTCAATTCCTCAGGGAAGGCTGAACACCACTCCCTCATATTAGTTCTGTTCTCTCATTTCATGCTTTTGTAGTTTCCTAGACTTTTCATATAGAACATTTATCACAATTTGTAATCATTTACTTCTGTGATTACTTGATCAATGCCTGGTATTACCATTAGAGAATTAGCTCTATGAGGACCCTTGTGTCTGTCTTGTTCACCACTGTATTACCAGTGCCCTGAATAGTGTCTGGCATGTAGTAGGTACTCGTGAATATTACTAGAATAAATAGATGAATATACAAACATCTATACTGTTCATGAGGTTCTCAAGGCAAGAATACTGAAATGGTTTGCCATTCCTTTCTCCAGTGGACATGTTTTGTCTTTTTGCCTTTTTGAGAGTGGAAAAACTGGTTTATAGCTCAACATTAAAAAAACTAATTTCACGGCATCCAATCCCATCATTTCATGGCAAATAGATGGGGAAACAATAGAAACAGTAACAAACTTTATTTTCTTGGGCTCCAAAATCACTGTGGGCAATGACTACAGCCATGAAATTAAAAGACGCTTGCTCCTTGGAAGAAAAGCTATGACCAACCTAGATAGTTTATTAAAAAGCAGAGACATCACTTTGCTGACAAGGTCTGTATAGTCAGAGCTGTGGTTTTTCCAGTAGTCATGTACAGATGTGAGAGTTGAACTATAAAGAAGGCTGAGTGCCAAAGAATTGATGCTTTTCAACTGTGATGTTGAAGAAGACTCTTGAGAATCTCTTGGACTGCAAGGAGATCAAACCAGTCCATTCTAAAGGAAATCAGTCCTGAATATTCATTTTAAGGACTGATGCTGAAGCTCCAATACTTTGGCCATCTGATGGGAAGAGCTGACTCATTGGAAAGATTGAAGGCAGGAGGAGAAGGTGATGACAGAGGATGAGATGGTTGGATGGCATCACCAACTCAATGGACATGAGTTTGAGCAAACTCTGGGAAGCAGTGAAGGACAGGCAAGCCTGGTGTGCTGCAGTCTATGGAGTTGCAAAGAGCTGGACATGACTTAGTGACTGAGGAACAAGAAAACAAACATTTATGTAAAGCTCAGTGGGAGACAGGGGAAAGTTTTTAAGTCTGACTGGGAGAATCAGGGAAGGAGCCACAAGAGAGGTAAAAATACTAAATTTTAAAGGAGGAAGATGAATTTTACAAGCCTAGAAGTTGGTAGGGAAGAGTGGTCCAGACAGTGGGGAAGTATGTGCAGAGACACAGAGGTGTGTTATAAGCCACTACATCCAAATGAATCAAATTTTCATTGCAAGAACTTTTGGTTCAGATCTATTCTCAAAATGATATTTAACAACACAAAAGTGTATTTTTATTCATAAAGTCATTTCTCTTTCTTAATTTAAATTCCTGGACAGAGAAATTACCCTCAGTGTCCATCAACTTTTCCACGGATTTCCTCTTTTTGCATAAATTCTCACTAACAAAATGCATTTATTCACCTTTTAATGGTCCGTTGGGGGAGAAATAAAGACCAACGAAGATATCTTGTGACATGTCATTCTGGTGACCTGTGGAGTTATTCTGATTAACCAGCCAAGACGCTAATATTCTACAAATCAAATCAGAGAAATAGAACAGACCATAAGAGTCCACACTGCCAAATGGGGCTAAATTCTAATCCAAGTTGCATCAGATCTATTATGAGTTTGGAGGAAAGTCAAATCTTTAGACTATTATATCCAGGAAACATAGTCATCTTCCGTCGGCACCAGCTGCTGTAGCCCATAATATGTCATGTCCTATATAACACTTCAGAAATTGTTGCAGCAGCATCCAATCCTCTGCCCCTTCTTTCCAGGGCAGAAATAATTTTTCAACAGAGAAGGAAACAGCCAGTCTGTAGGATGCTGGTTTGGAATGCTGTCTTCTAGTGACAAAATACAATATTTAAGTGGTCTAGCTGATTTTGAATATAAGCCACCATTGATTCTTTATGTTCAGGGTGTAACTAATTCCACAAACCAGGCCAATATCATTTGTTTATCATCATACCATGAGGCTTGTAATTTTGGTCACAATCAATAAATGTCTCCAGGAAAGCAAGTAATGATTTCATCCACTTTCAGATACTTTCCAAACGCAGATCACCAATCCAGGTCTTTGTCCTGAGCAGTATGTATATATAGAGCCAATGGCCAAGTAGATCAGCTCAAGGGCAATCCAAGTTCAGTCTGTTCAAAACTGTATTCATTGTCTTGCTTACAAACTTGCTTCTGCTCTTGTGGCTTCTCTCCTTAAGCATGGAATCACAGTTAACTCATTTTTCTTAACTAGAAACCCAGCAGGCATTTTGAACACATCCTTAAGTCTTTACATGCAAAGAGGCATCAAGTTCTGTAGATTTAGCCTCCTAAGTATCTCTTCATTCCCTCTCCCAGCATTCTAATTCAGTTCTTGTTAATTTCTCATCCAGCTTCCTACAGTAAGCAGATTTATAACCTCATAAGTAGATTTATAGCTTCTAGCCTTGCTCATTTACAATTTCCTCTACACTGTAGCCAGACGGAGCTTTAAAAAATGAATATCTGACCAAGGCACTCTATCGTTAAAAAAAAACCCTTTAAGTGGCTACTAATTGCTTTCAAGATAAAATATCAGCTCTTTAGTGCAACATTCATTGTGATGTTTCATCATAAGGACCTGGTCCTTATCTCTGTCTCTGGCATCATATATCTTGTCTCATCCTTGTCTATTCTCTCCCTCTACAACCTCTGTTATTATCACTAACAATAGTTACCATTTACTGAGTACTTACCCTCACTTAGGAACCATGTAAATGCTTTACATTTATATATTTTCTAAACTTCTCTGATGATGTCTATCACCTGGGATCTTTGCTAAAGATACAGTTCTTGGTTCTTAGCCCAGACCCATCGAATCGTAGTCTTCACAGAATGAGACTGGGAAATAGTATTAAAGGCACACACACAAACATGACTCTAATCATCTGAGAATTTTGAGAAAATTCTGCTCTCCATGAACTTTTACTTAATCCACATATAATTTAATAAGATAACTATTCTTAGTCTCATTTATATCTAGAAATCTGAGGGTTAAGGGAAGAAGTTTTTTCAAAGACACCTAGTTAACTGATTACTATTGTTACTCTTTGAACCTAGGCATCCAAACCCAGGATTTACACCATTCCTATGTTCTGCTCTTTTTTTTAACTTGTAAATCAGCACATGCACTGTGATCACTCTCAATTCTCTGTGCCTCTTCTATCTTTTGAGCTGGAAAGTAATTTTCCTGTCTTTGCCAGGAAAGCTACTGCTAACCCTCATTCAACCTGGATGCCTTCCTATGAACCATTCTGTTAATGTAACACATCATCATCTACATCCTTATCTGTTTCCCTACTAGACATAAGTAGGTACATCGCAAGTCCTTCTATGTCTTTAGTCTAGCAGTGTGCCTGACATATACCTGGTATGTGATTAAATATCTGTCAAATGAATAAAAGCATGACAACTCACTTTAGTCTTGCAAGTGCCTGGAGTTGAGGTTTTGTAAGTGGATGGACCTAAGGTTGCTCAAGAAGTGTATTTGTTTTCAGATACTGATTAGCTATTTGTTTTTAGGTATTATTAGCTGCCCCTTCAGTTCAAGCCATGCCCCTACTGAACTTACCTATTTTCATTCTAGGAGCCTCTTAGAAGAGATGTCGTTGAGAACCCGACCTACTCCATTTGGAGTTTGGAAAAATCAAACATGCATGGTGTACCATAGTAGCCCCGTCAAGACCAGATGATTGGGAAAGGGCAATGAACACCCCAGAAAGGGCCAGCATTACAAGGGAAAGAGGAGCCTGGGCTGGTGATGTGGACTTAATGCCAGAGTTCAGAAAACAGAGGGGCGTGCTGACGTGGGTCTCAGGCACTTTTCATCCAGATTCTCAGTGCCGTTGGCACAGTGTGAGTGTGAAACTCACGGATGGAAGTAATATTTTCATTTAGTTATAAACCAACAGGTAGAGCTCTCCAGCAGTGGCAGTGAGAAAGACTTTCAGAATAGGAGGCTTGATTAGGGTCCCAAGTGTGTAGACTAAAAATCTATATACTACCAGGATTTCAGCAAATGGAAACGCCAAGACTCCTTTTTTCAGGAGACATGGATAAGGACTGGGCACAGTAGGCATACTCAACAGGTACAACAGCTTTCATGGCTGGTGGTGACTCCTGTGTTCCACCACTGGGGACAAGGCAGTGGCCATAGAGGAAGCCAAGACCAGCAGGTAAAGCTGTCCACAGGTGAGCAGACATCATGTTCATTTATGGGTGTTGCGTGCATCTTGGTTCTACCTTTACTAGTTCTTAGTTGAAGGCAAGAAGTGAAGGGAACAGATTAACAGACAGGGATATGTTATCCTGGCAGTCCTTAGGAGTATTTATTTGGGGCAAGAGGAACTTTGTAAGGGCAGGGGACTATATTTTCTTTTAATTTGACATATTCTTGGGTCTGATGTCATAATTTAGGTATTACAAGAAAAGCTTAGCTCACCAGGTTGATGAGGGCTGGAAATTTGGGTCACAGAATTTGGTAATAAAAGTAAACAAAGAGATCTTTGAAAATATGATCCCAATATGCTATGCTTGGGAAAATAGCATTCCCAAGCATGTTAAAGACAGTTATATAAAGTCATGAAAAATGAGACCCTACAGGTAACAGAGCAGAAACATGTCTTATTTGAGACAAGTTTTATTTGAAATACAAACTTTATTTGAAACAAAGCTTTATTCAAAACAAGCCTTATTTGAAGAGAGAATTTGGTTTAGTACAAAAAGATTTGAAGGCATTCTGGAGACTCTCACAGATAGGCAAAAGAAATTAGATCATACATGCATCTGAACAGAAGAGATGCTTTATTTGGAAAAGAGGGAACATGGCTACAACATCTAAAAAATCAGCGTTGTATATGATTACAAAGAAAAGAGAACTCTTGTGAGAAAGATGACATGTTCAATGTTAAAGAGATTAATATATAACTGACATGGCTCATGGTCTGTGAAGACAAATAACCTTGTCATATCTTATAAAATACACTCATTGGAATCTTACCGAAGTTAGCAACAGGAGAGTCAGTTTCTATTCTGGACACTCTGCCTTAAGATACGTAGTCTTGACATGACCACATCCCAGTCAGCATAAGCCCCTTCTAGATGGCGGGATATCTCAGTTCCGGCTTCATAGCTTCGTCGGCCATGAAGTAAGCGCCAATTATCAAAGGTAATCACATCACCTAGACAAAAGATTTTTTACAGTGTGAATATAATCTTCCGTGTAAATGATTTGCTGCGCTAGAAAATGTGAAATGCAAAAACAGCACTGCCACGTTCACACCCAGAGACAATATGTTTACTTCTTTACATGAAATTACATATTTGCTTTTTCATAAATATCAGACCACTAGATGCTGATTGCTTTAGGCCTTTTGACATCTGAACTACATAGACTGTCAGGCCCCTGTAGACACTTTTATAATCTTACTTAAACTATTATCTCTATGCAAAACTTCTGAATTGTTCTTCCTAATTGTTACTTATCTCCTACTCAGAAGTGTTTTCTTTAAATTGAAATACAGTTGATTTACAATGCTATGTTAATTTCTGTTATACAACAAAGTAATTCAGTTATACATATACATACATTCATTTTTATATATTTTTCCATTATGGTTTATCACAGGACATAGAAAAATTTCCTGTGCTATAGAGTGGGACCTTTTTGTTTATATATTCTATATATAATAGTTTGCATCTGCTAACCCCCAAATCCCACCCTATCTTGCCACCACCTGGGCAACCACAAGTCTATTCTCTATGTCAGAGAGTCTCTTTCTGTTTCATAGACAGGTTCATTTGTGCCATATTTTGGATTCTGCATACAAGTGATATCATATGACATTTGTCTTTCTCTTTCTGACTTAAGAAATTCTTATTTCTAGTTTAACAGCTTCAGATAATTATAAGGATACTGACATTCTTGGTTTGTCTTTTATGTTCTTAGTATTTATGTATATTATTTCTAAACCTCATAAAAATCTTGAAATAAGAGTATTATCTCATCTTTTCATACATAGAAAACTGAAGCTCCGAGAAGTTGAAGCACTTTCAGAAGGTTTCTGCCATTAAATGATGAAGCTTGAATTCTAACTCTTGTTTTTTGAGTATTTTTCTCCCATTGCATTTCCATTTTACATGTTACTGCTCTTAAAAATCAATGTGGTGTTGACTGCATAACAGTGAATTTATGAAGATTCTAGTAGTACTTTACTAGATCAATTTAAAAAAAAAAGGCACAAGAGAAAAGTATCTTCTACTTGGCCCAGTCAACAGGAGGGAGAAATTAGGCCTTTTATTTTAGATATCAAAAGCCTTGAGTTTCATGTCACTTTATTAAGCAGAGATGGTGCAGAGAACCCACAATGCTTTCTGCTCCTTTATCCAAGTGGCTGGAATACTTCAGTATGACTTTGTTTCAGGTAGCAATATGCCTGCCAGATCAGATAAGTGCAGTGAGTAAACATGACTCATGAACTTTAGAGTGAGAGTCATGGGGATAATTTTATCTGTTTACCAAGTTAGAAGAATTAAGTATAAGCTTCAGTTTGTATTGATTGGCTATCAGGATAGAAAATATGTCATCAGTCTTCATATCAGATATGAGATTTTATTGGGCCTGTAGCTTGTCCTTCAATATTTATTCTTTAGGTTAGAGGTTATTAAATTTTGATGTGTTTAAAGATTACCTAGGAGCTTATTTAATGATGAGTATTTTAAAGTCAATTTAGAGCCAGGGTAGGAGCCAGACGTCTGCTATTTAAGCAAGCTGGCTATATACCAAGACTCTGTTGTAAGTTGTTCCACTTGCCATGTCTGAGAAAAACTGCTCTAGATACAGTGCTCAATGCTTAAAATAGAAGAAAACCCATTCTTTCAGTTGTTTGAGGAGGTGAGTTCACTGACCTGGATTCATCTTGAAAGTAAACTTGAAATCTTTACAGTTCATGAGGTCAACAAACTCCTTCAGAGCAGCATAGAAAGGCTGAACTCTCTCGACAGGTACATCAAATATCGTGTCTCTAGTTGCATTATTGAAGTTGATACGAACCACTTGATCTTTATCGTCTAATCTATTTTTCAAAGAGAAGAAGTTAAAATACAGAAGTCATGAAGTATTCATTTGCATTTGTAAGGGTCATTTCATCTTGGAAGATGTTTCTGAAACACAGTATTAAAGAATCCAAACATATGTACAGAAAATATTAAGGTTATCTGTGATACAAAGTATTCATTGGCTTTTCATTTATTCATTTGGCAAGTGTTTTTGGAAATCTTACCACCAAAGTGCCAGAATGATTCAAATTACTTCAAAATAAATATTTCTGAGAAATTTAAGTTAAAATTTTTATTTGTTAGGAAAATGAATTCATTCTTCATTCTTTGAAAAAGAGTAGCTTTTACATATTAAAATATGTCTATGTTATAATTCATAGATCAATCAACTTATATGTCTTATCTATTGGGGTTTTAAGTATGATTTTATTGGATCATTATTGGGAAGAAAGACTTGTTTTGTTTTTTTGCTTTTTTAATTTATTTATTTAGTTTTTTTGAATTTTATTATTATTTTTTTATATTGTAGTGGTTTTTGCCATACATTGACATGAATCAGCCATGGATCTAATAGATGTCCATCAGCAGACTTGTTTTTTTAAAAGCTTGAAATAATCTGTTCTAATTCAATCCCTAATTTATAGATGGAGAAACAAAATCACAGAGAAAGTAGAGTCTTGCTGGAAGTACATTCTTTGGATCCTTTCATCTATATTAACCATTTTAGTGTGTAGGCTTCGAGAAGACTGATACTGTATTTCACTTAATGTTGTATTCCCAGCACTTACATAGAGCCTGGGCATAATAGGCAGTTAAAAAATATTTGTTACATATGTAACTTTGTATATTTTTTAGTACATTTGGAGAGTAACAAGATCTTTTGAGTATCTTGAGAGATTCTAATATTGTGATCTCTATAGTATTTCTTAGAATGTAAATCATGATCATGATAATATAACATAATACTGTTTTTAATGTAAGAAATAATAGTCCTAAGTTTAAGTTTGTTGGTTATAATTAGCAAAGTATGAGCATTGTTTAGACACAGAGACAAAAGGAAGAAAAACTTTTTTAGCTTATTAGGAAGATGGACTTTTAGCCAGTTCTAAAATAGCAACCAACTTTATCTTTTCTTTAGGTAGAAAGAGGACAGATAGAGAAAACCTGAAGGTGGGCAAGGATGGTGATGAAGTGCCAAGAATTACTCCTGGGTCAGCTTAGGAGGTGGTAATGTGAGCCAATAGCTGACTGATGGGTCAAATGGAACAGACTCTGGTACATGTTCCAGGGCTTGGTGACACTGATTTGGGGTCTAGATTACACTTGGCTGGCTCCTCACACAGAGAGAACCAGTGGTATACAAAGTATGGCTGCCTGGTCCCCACACTTTGTATCTCAGATTAATGGTCAATCCTGTGAGCCAATGGCAAGTGTAATGATAAAAGCTCTGTCTAGTCAAAGCTATGTAGTCTCTTTCCAGTAGTCATGTATGGACAGGAGAGTTGGACTATAAAGGAAGCTGAGTGCCGAAGAATTGATGCTTTTGAACTGTGGTGTTGGAGAAGACTCTTGAGAGTCCCTTGGACTGCAAGGAGATCCAACCCGTCCATCCTAAAGGAAATCAGTCCTGAATATTCATTGGAAGGATTGATGCTGAAGCTGAAGTTCCAATTCTTCGGTCACCTGATGCAAAGAGCTGACTCATTGGAAAAGCCCCTCATGCTGGGAAAGATTGAAGGTGGGAGGAGAAGGGGACGACAGAGGATGAGATGGTTGGATGGCATCACAGACTCAATGAACATGAGTATGCACAAGCTCCAGGAGTTGATGATGGACAAGGAGGCCTGGTGTGCTGCAGTCCATTGGGTCACAAAGAATCAAACATGACTGAGCAAATGAACTGAACTGAATAATAAACTCTTAGAAATAGTCATTAACAGCAACTCTTTGCTAATTGAGTAGTGACTGAAAACTACCTATTGAACTCATATAAGGAAAGAAAGTGTAAGAAAGAAACAGGTTTTCAAAAAAGGCTCTTAGAACTTGAATTTATATATATTGATAAAAATACAAATATGACTGAATAGGCAATGAAGTGCTCTCCACTGCTGCCCCATCTTTTCCACATAGATAAAGGATGCCCTATAGCCTGCAGTTTGCAGCTTCATGAACAAAGAATGAAGGAAGAGGTCAGTCAGCAGAAGAGACTGTGGACCTTCAGGTTTGAGTAATACAAAGCACAGAGCTTGAGACCTTTTGATTAATGTGTTCATACTGCTGGTTTCAGACCACTTTCTCAGTTTCTGAGGACCTTTTGCCTTTTCACCTTATCTTTAAAATTCTAGCCTAACTCCTCCTGACACACATCCCTTCCTCTCCCCCTGCATTATTTTCTGTGCATATAACAATGACGGACTTCCCTGGTGGCTCAGATGGCGAAGAATCTGCCTGCAATATGGGAGACCCGGGTTCGATCCCTGGGTTGGAAAGATCCCCTGGAGGAGGGCATGGCAACCCACTCCAGTATTCTTGCCTGGAGAATCCCCATGGACAGAGGAGCCTGGCGGGCTACAGTCCCTGAGGTCACAAAGAATCGGACACGACTGAGCGACTAAGCACACAGATCAATGACAGCCTTTGCGTCATCCTTCGTGTCACTGACAAGGAGGTGACACCTTTGAAACTTCCCTTGGGACTCTTGCATCCCAGCCGCTCTGCTGATTTGTTTCTTTTTCCTCTAACACAATGTACCATGGGATACTCCATGAAATCAGAATTTCATATTTCATGGTACATTGTATTAAGCTTTCACTTCTAAGAGTTCATCTTTTGCTCAGATGCTCACTTGTGTCCGACTCTTTGCGACCCCATGCATTAGAGCCTGCCAAGCTCCTCTGTCCTTGGGATTCTTCCACCAAGAATCCTGGAATGGGTCACCATTTCCTCCTTCAGGGGATCTTGAAGACACAGGATTGAACTCAAATCTACTGTGTTGCCTGCATTGGCAGGTGGATTCTTTACCACTAGCACCACCTGAGAAGCCCCTAAGAGTTCATACATGTGGGCAAAAATAATCAATTCCTCTCTCTCTCTCAGTCTCTGTTTCTTTTAACCTGGTGTTTACTTTCTATATGAGAAAATAAGAACAAATTTGTTTTTTAGCATTCTAAAAAATGACCTAAGGGGAAATAATAAGTAAATTTAGTTGTGAGGTGCAGAGAAGATGTTATTCTGAGGATGGAACAATGTTAGAGGAGATGTGTGCTTGGCATCATGAGGATCAACTTAAAATGCAAAATTGGACCTTAGTAAGCAGGATATGCTATAGGTAAAAAGAGGATGAAAGGAAAGTCTTGATGCAGGATTATATGCTGTTCAGTTCAGTTCAGTCACTCCTTCATGTTCAGCTCTTTGTGACCCCATGAAGCTGCAGCACACCCGAATTCCCTATCCATCACCAAATCCCGGAGTCCACACAAACTCATGTCCATTGCATCGGTGATATCATCCAACCATCTCGTCCTCTGTTGTCCCCTTCACCTCCCACCTTCAATCTTTCCCAGCCCTTTCCCAGGGCTTTTCCAATGAGTTGGTTCTTTGCATCAGGTGGCCAAATATTGGAGTTTCAGCTTCAGCATCAGTCCTTCCAATGAATATTCAGGACTGATTTCCTTTAGGATGGACTGTTTGGATCTCCTTGCTGTCCAAGGGACTCTCAAGAGTCTTCTCCAACACCACAGTTCAAAAGCATCAATTCTTCAG